GAATCTATAAGACATACTAGAAAGTGATGAACAACACTTAACAGGATACTACAGTAAAGTAATTTTGGGCTCACAATAAATATATATATATATATATATATATATATATATAAAGGGAAAACCAACAATATATATGTAAAGGAATATATATATATATATATATATATATATATATATATATATATATATTTATATATATATATATATAAAGATATGATCTGTGGTTCAAAATTTTATGACTGCCATGAAAAGACAAAATTTATTTTTATTACCACTCATAATGATAACAGATAAAAAGTAAAACTGAAAAACAGGTGAGCTAACTGGTTTCAAACCTCACTCAATAGAACTAAATTGAGGTTAATAAATTACAATATATAATATCAGTGATAGATATGCTAGACAGGTTTCCGTAGCAGTTTGACATTGTTACTTTGCTGCTAACACATGTGTAGTCTTTTCTGCCAAGCCTGTTCTTCCATCCATGCTGAAGGACGTTCTCCCTCCACATCATAATAGTTCTTTAATTTATTCCTTTAAATGTAGTTGTGGCTCACACTACATAGGGAGAACGACTCAAAGGCTGGGTGCCAGAATAAAGCAACACATTCCAACGAAAATCCGCACTCTTAAGTAGACTCCTTCAGACATTCTGACCAATACATATGGGTCTTCTATTGCAGAGCACCTAATAAATAACCATAATTGTGCCACTAATTTTAGTGTGGATTCATTTACTATTCTTAGCAAGTCCCACTCAAATTACCACTTGAAAGTGTTGGAGACCATTTATATTTTATCTTTGAAGCCCTCTCTGTGTAAACAGAAAGATTTCCATCTAAGCAATATCCCCCCCAATACATATTGTCCACCTTTTTAGTGATAATTCTATTTAATTTATTAACCTAGATTTAGCTCTGTTGAGTGAGGTTTGAAACCGGATAGCTCACCCATTTTTCAGTTTTACTTTTTATCTATTATCATCATGAGTGGTAATAAAAATAAATTTTCTCTTTTTATGGCCGTCATATATATATATATATATATATATATATATATATATATATATATAGCACATACCCTGGGTACGATGGAAAAATTGTCGCCATTTTATTTTTTTTAATTTTGTGTATATGCATCATTTGTTTTGATTTTGTTGACTGCACATTATAGTAAGGTCAGTTGGGCACTGTCTATGAGAAAAAGAGCACCATAGCACAATTTGGAAATGGCATGCTGTACTGCTTGGCATTTGCGCCAGAAGCTCCAATATGAACATTTCAGAGTGTTTGGGTGTCAATCAATCAATTTGAGGACAGTGCAGATGATTTGGAAAGAGTTGAATGAGTCCAATGGTGATTACAAAGATGTTTGGAGTGAGCACTAGTGATGACAATGTTATGCCTCTATTCATCTTCCCACAGGGTATAAGATTCAACATGGGGGCCTACATCAAGTTCCTTGTGGAGGTAGTGCTTCTTTGGGTCAAGAGAGTAGCTGTGGAAAGAACTTATGTCTAGCAACAGGACTCTGCACCATGCCACACAAGCAGGAGAACTCAGTCATGGCTGTCAGACAATTTCTGTGACCACATCACCCCTTACGTCTGAAACAGCAGTGAGAAAAGCCTAAAGAAACACCAGTGAGAAAATTCCGAAATTCTAATTTTAATTAAAATCATTTACAAATTATAATTAAAATTATAATTCTGAAGAAAAAAATTTAAAAATGAAAATAAAAAAATTAAAATTAAATTTGTTAATTATAAATTAGAATTCTGTAATTAAACAATTATAATTTGTAAATTTTAATTCTAAATTATAATTTAGAAATTTGAAATAATTTATGTCTGATATTTAAAATAAATTATAGCTATGAAGTTTTAATTCTAAGTTGAATTATAAATTATAATTAAAATTATCATTCTGAAATAAAATATAATCATGAAATAAAAGGATATTTAAATTAAGAAATTTTTATTATTATTATTTGGTTGAGTTAGCTCAGACATTCATGAATCTATCACACCAGCCATCATGGACCTTTATCAAGGTCAGAAGATTATCAGAGATTGTGTGTCATAACATATCTGGTCAATGTAGGTGGATGCTGAGCAACCAACTTGTCTTGATTAATGGCTAGGTATCCAGAGCATTAGATCACATACTCTTGTTTTACTCACCAGCAGTGTCCTGAAAATTACTTTCTGCATCCATGTAAGATTTTCGAAATATCAGGTCCATAGAGGTGTGATTTAGTTGGATTTTGTCTCCAAGAGATGATGAATATAGTTCTCAACATATAAGTGTAGGTTCAATCAAATTTAGGCTGTAATGTTTTACTTAATGTCCACACAATGCACCATATATTAACACCACCTCTAGAGTGGCTCAAAAGTGTTTTTTGTTTGAGGTTGTCTGTTAGAACAGATTCCCAGATTAAATCCATTTTTTTTATTCTAGGGGAAATTCTGTAATTACAATTAAGTTATAAAAATAATTAAAATCATTCTTATTTATTATTTAAAAAAATATAAAATAAAAAAGATATAGTTCTGGTATTCTAAATAAATTGTACAAATTTTTCAACTAATAAGTTTCAATTTACACTGATGTCCTCATCTTTATTGTCATATTCACAATGTTTTGGCTGTTGGAATTTTGAACTGAACCCTTTATTTAGTCCACAGGGTAGATTGTTCTAGTTCCACATGGCATGCCTTTTCTGGATATCTCAGTTTCAGTTATTTTCCTTTTGTAACTCAACAAGTTTTTGTTCACTTCACCTCTCCTGTAGACAGGTATTTTCACTGCTGACAGGAACACAACCTATTGGTTAAAAAATATGGATACCACTAAAAATAATGTTTATGGCAATAAGAAATAATGTTGGATTTTAAAAAATCCATTCAAAAATTACTGTTGTTTATGTTGGGAGACAAAACTGAAGCTAGCAGATATAGATTTATCGAAGTTCCAATGAGAGATGTGCATTCCTTAAATATGTAATACAAAGATTGCTCTATCAAGATGGACTACTGTGGCCAAAATGGTAGTGACAAGTTTCCACTATAGAAACTATTTCTCTGATGGAAAAAGGGATGCAGATTTGATTCTTATTAGAGACACAATGTATCTTTAGTAAGACTTTTCAACCTATGCCAGTTATTAATTTCACTGTTTAAGAAAATAAAAAAAGGGATAGCAACTCAAATACATGTACCCATTAAAAATAACGTTTATAGTAGTAAGAAAGATATGATATCTGTCAATAAATTCAATTGAAACTTGAAATAGGGAAGATAAATGTTGTGTCTAACAGCTTGTGGAAGACAAATAAAGAATGGCACAAGGAGACAAATATCACACTGACGCTCCTCGGTATGCATGTGGTGTGTCCTTGTTTTTCCGCATTTTTAATATATATCTGCGCCTTCTTCTTATAAGGATATAAGAATGTATTGTAAAGCAGATCACACTTCTTTCGTAGTTTAATTTAATTTCAAGAGTATTTCATAGTTTATTGTATTTAAACGACTTTAAATTTGTAAATAGTTTTAAATCAATGTTAAGGAATATTATTGTGTTTTTATGTATGTTTTTTATATTATTTTTATTTTATTTTATTTTTTGTGTGTACAGTCAAAATATACAGCATATTTATGGACAATTATTTTCCTTTTGCGAATACATCCATTTAAAGTTAACTGACCTGTAATAATGTTAAGAATCAGGCTCAACGATAAAAATGTGATAGTAGGGTTGAGTTTAAGTCCCCCACGCCCTCCAAAAAAAAAAAAAAGGACAAATAAAATAAAACCTGCAAATATTTAAAGTAAGATACTACACAATACTTAGGAAAAAGGGTTAAATTTAGGAACATTAAGATTACCTCCTTGGTTATCCATTGAAACTGCTATCCACCGAAAAAAGAAAAGAAGCCAGTCCCCACTGTGGACCATTTAAAAGATAGTTTGTGCAGCGGATTGGTTGTTACAAACATCCAATCGGGTGTGCGGAAAACGTGGTCTTTCTTCGTCTAATTCTTTAAAAGGCCAGAGTAGCTGTTAGCGTTTGAATGAGAGGGGGGATCAGGGATTGATCTCCCCTGATTGGGTCGATTTGGTGATGGGGAGTATGATGTTGAAAGACCTGAAACTCCCTGATGTACCAAGTCAAATAACATCACTGATGACCCCCTAAGGGTGTATTTTTGAATGAATATGCTTCTGAGGATCATCGTGTTGCAGGTGGTAAATTGGCCCACAAACAAATATTAAAAGACAGAAGACAACAACAAATAAAAGGAAGACATGAGTAAAAAAATATATTGACAACTTTATTCTTGTTGGAGAAAATACAGACAAAAATAAGCTTACAGTGCCACTAGGTAAAATGATATCTCAGAATGTTCATATTGGTCTAATGTATATTCATGTAGAGGGTAAGAAGAGAGTTGTAGTGGTTGAAAAGTGTTGTCCTGAAAAGGACAGTTTTGTTTAGTGTCCATGAAGAGTGTTGTCCTGAAAAGGACAATTTTGTAGCCATTGAGTATTGCTGTCCTGAAAAGGACAGTTTTGTGGCCATCGAGAATTGTTGTCATGAAAAGGACAGTTATTAGATATCATTGCTGTGAGTGAGAATGGCTGGCTGGAAATGGAAGCCTGTTGGAGTTGGCTGGCTGGCTGCGGCTGGAAGTCTATTGGAGATGGCTGGCTGGCTGGCTGCAGCTGGAAGTCTGTTGGAGATGGCTGGCTGGCTGCAGGTGGAAGTCTGTTGGAGGTGGCTGGCTGGCTGCAGCTGGAAGTCTGTTGGAGATGGCTGGCTGGCTGCAGCTGGAAGCCTGTTGGAGATGGCTGGTTGGAAGGTGATGGCTGTCAGAGATGACTGGCACTGGATGCCTGTTGGAGATGGCTGTCTATAATTCGATGACTATTGGAGATGGCTATCTGGAAGTGTATGCCTGTTGAAGATGGCTGCCTGACTGGAACTGGATGCCCATTAGAGATGACTGGCTGGCTTGGTGAAACTAGATGCCTTTTGAACATGGCAAATTGAAGCTGGATGCCTGTTGGTGATGGATATGGCTGGATGGCTAGATCTGAACACTTGTTGGAGATAGGAGTAACAGGATGTCTGTTGGAGATGGCTGGCTGGAGTTGAATGCCTGTTGGAGATGCTGGAACTGGATGCCTGTTGGAGATGGCTGGATGGCTGTTGGGGATGAATGGATGCTTGTTGGAGATGGCCGGCTGAAGATGGATGCCTGTTGGAGCTGGATGCCTGTTGGAGATGGCTGACTGGAGCTGGATGCCTGTGGGAGCTGGATGCCTGTTAGAGATGCTGGGCAGAAGCTGTTGGAGATGATTTGTTGGAACAGGAGATGGTTGGAACATGATGGCTGTTGGAGATGGCTGGCTGGAACTGTATGCCTGTTTGAGATGGCTCGCTGAAACGATGCCTGTTGGAGATGGCTGGCTGGCTGACTAGCATGGTGAAACTGGTGCCTATTGGACATGGGAAATTAAAGCTGGATGGCTGTTGGATATGACTGGATGGCTAAAGCTGGATGTATATTGAAGATGGCAGGAACAGGATATCTGGAACTGGGTGCCTGTTGCAGATGGCTGAAACTGGATGCCTGTTGGAGATGGCTGGCTGGTGGAAGCTAGACGCCTGTTGGAGATGGCTCGCAGGAACTGGATGCTGGAGCTGGATGCCGGCTGCCTGGCTGGATCTGGTTGCCTGTTGGATATGGTTGGCAGTCAATGACTGTTGGATATGGCTGACTGGACCTGGATGCCTGTTTGAAACAGCTGGCTGGATGGAGCTGCATGCCTGTTGGAGAGGCTGCAGATGAATGGATACAGCTTTTGGCCTGTTAATGGCTGGCTGGCTGGATAATGGATGCCTTGCAAGAACTGGATGCCTTTTGGAAACAGATGAATGGATACAGCTGTTGGTCTGTTGATGGCTGTCTGGAACTGGATGCCTGTTGGAAGCAGCTGGCTGTATAGAGCTGCATGCTTGTTGGAGATGGCTGACTATATCAGGATACCTGTTGGAGATATTTGGCTGGCTAGAGCTGGATGCCTGTTGGAAATGGCTGATTGGCTGGAACTTGATGCCTGTTGGAAATGGCTGATTGGCTGGCTCGATGCCTGTTGGAGATGGCTGCCTGGCTAGAAGACTTGGCTGATTGGTTGGAACTGTATGTCTGTTGGAGATGGCTGTCTGTATGGTTGTCTGGAACTGTATGCATATTTGAGATGGCTGGCTGATAATGGATGCCTGTTGGACATGGCTGACTTGCTGGAACTTGATGCTTGTTGGAGATGACTGGCTAGCTGGAGCTGGAAGTCTGTTGGAGATGGCTGGCTGGCTGTAGCTGGATCCCAGTTGGCAATGGCTGGATGGAACTGGATGGCAGTTGAAGATGGCTGTCTGAATGCCTGTTGGAGATGGTTGGAACTGGATAGGATGCCTGTTGCAAATGGCTGGCTGGTGGAAACTTGATACCTGTTGGAAATGAATGGCTGGCTAGAGCTGGATGCATGTTGGGGATGGCTGGCTTGCTAGAGCTAGATGCCTTTTGGGGATAGCTGGCTGTCTGGACCTGGATACCTGTTGGATATGGTTGCCAGACTGGAAGTCGATGGCTGTTCGATATGGCTGGCTGACTGGAGCTAGGTACCTGTTGGAGATGATTGGATAGACCTGGATGTCTGTTGGAGACAGCTGGCTTGGTTGAGCTGCATGCCTGTTGGAAATGGCTGACTGGCTGGATCTGAATGCCTGTTAGAGATGGCTTGCTGGCAGGAACTGGATGCCTTTTGGAAACACCTGACTGAATACAGCTTTTGGTCTGTTGATGGCTGTCTGGCTGGCTGGAGATGGCTGGCTGGCTGGAACAGGATGCATGTTGGAAACAGCTAGCTTGATAGATCTGCATGCCTGTTGCAAATGGCTGAATGTCTGGCTGGCTGGCTGGCTGGCTGGCTGCATCTGGATGCCTTTTGGAGGTAGTTGTCTGGCTAGAGCTGGATGCCTGTTAGAAATGACAGATTTGCTGGAACTTGATGCCTATTGGAGATGGCTGGCAGGAACTGGATGCCTGTTGGAGATGGCTGGTTGGCTAGAGCTGGATGCCTGTTGTTGGTTGGCTGACATGAACTGGACGATTGCTGTCTTGCTGACAGGAACTGGATGCCTGTTGGAGATGACTGGTTGGCTAGAGCTGGATGCCCGTTGGAGTTGGTTGGCTGACATGAACTGGATGATTGCTGTCTTGCTGACAGTGGGAACTGGATGCCTGTTGGAAAGATGGCTGGTTGATAGAGCTGGATGCCCGTTGGAGTTGGCTGCCTGGCTTGAATTGTGTCTGCCTGGCTTGGCTGGATGCCTGTTGGAGATGGCTGCTGGCTGGAACTGGATGCCTGTTGGATGGTTGGCTGGATGGCTGTCTGGCTGGAACTGAATGGTTGTGAGATAGCTAGCTGGCTGTCTTGGCTGGCTGGAACTGGATGCCTGTTGGCAGAATGGCTGGCTGGAACTGGATGACTGTTGGAGATGGCTGTCTGGATGCCTGTTGGAATGGCTGAATGGTTGAATTGGAAGTGGATGACTGTTGGAGATGGCTGCCTGCTGGCTGATGCCTGGTTGGAGTGGCTGCTGGCTGGCTGGATTGCCAGTTTGGCAATGAAACTGGCTGGCTGGCTGAAACTGGATGACTGTTGATAGTGATGGCTGGCTGGAGCTGGATGGAGAATGGTTGGAGATGGCTGCCTGGTTGGAAGTCGATGCCTGCTGAGATGGCTGCCTGGCTGTTGGACTGGATGGCTGGCTGGCTGATGGTTGGATGCTGCCTGTTGGAATTGGATTATTGGAGATGGCTGCCTGACTGGAAGTGGATGCCTGTTGGAAGAATGGCTGCCTGGCTGGAACTGGATGCCAGTTGTAGATGGTTGGCTGGAACTGATGCCTGTTGTAGGCTGGCTGGCTGGAACTGAATGGTTGTCAGAGTTGGATTGCTGGCTGTAGCTGGGTAGCTGGATTCCTGTTGGCGCTGGCTGGCTGGCTGAAACTGGATGCCCATTGGAGGTTGTGGCTGGAACTGGATGCCTGTTGGAGATGGCTGTCTGGCTGGAACTGAATGGTTGTCAGAGATAGCTAGCTGGCTGAAGCTGAGTGGCTGTAGCTGGATTCCAGTTGGCAATGACTGGCTAGCTGAAACTGGATGACTGTTGGTGATGGCTGGCTGGAGCTGGATGCCTGTTGGAGATGGCTGCCTGGCTGGATTCCAGTGGAATGGCTGCCTGGTTGGAACTGGATGCCTGTTGAATGATGGACTGGCTGGCTGGCTGGCTTGAATCAGAGATAGCTGGCTGGCTGAAGAGTTGATGGCTGGCTGGCAGCTGGACTGTTGGTGATGTGGCTGGATTCCTGTTGGAGATGGCTGAATGGTTGTCAGAGATAGCTGGCTGGCTGGCTGTGGCTGAAACTGGATGGCCTGGAGCTGGATTGGATGGTTGCTGGCTGGAACTGGATGCCTGTTGGAGATGGCTGTCTGGCTGGAACTGAATGGTTGTCAGAGATAGCTAGCTGGCTGAAGCTGAGTGGCTGTAGCTGGATTCCAGTTGGCAATGGCTGGCTAGCTGAAACTGGGTGACTGTTGGTGATGGCTGGCTTGAATGGCTGGATGCCTGTTGGAGATGCCTGTTGGAGATGGCTGGCTGGAACTGATTCCAGTTGGCAATGACTTAGCTGAAACTGGATGACTGTTGGCAATGGCTGCCTGGTTGGAGAGAATTGAGGCTTATTGGATGACTGTTGGAGTTGGAGATGGCTGCCTGGCTGGAACTGGATGCCAGTTGTAGATGGTTGGCTGGCTGGCTGGCTGGCTGGAACTGAATGGTTGTCAGAGTTGGATTGCTGGCTGTAGCTGGGTAGCTGGATTCCTGATGGCGCTGGCTGGCTGGCTGAAACTGGATGCCCATTGGAGGTTGCTGGCTGGAACTGGATGCCTGTTGGAGATGGCTGTCTGGCTGGAACTGAATGGTTGTCAGAGATAGCTAGCTGGCTGAAGCTGAGTGGCTGAGTGGGCTGGATGAGCTGGATTGAATGGTTGGAGATGGCTGTCTGGCAATGACTGGCTAGCTGAAACTGGATGAATGTTCTGGAAGTTGGCAATGTTGGTGAAATGGATGCTGTTGGTGATGGCTGGAACTGGATGCCTGTTGGAGATGGCTGTCTGGCTGGAATTTGGAGATGGGTTGTTGGAGATGGCTGGAACTGAATGGCTGGCTTGCTGGCTGAGTGGCTGTAGCTGCTGGATTCCAGTTGGCTGGATTCCAGTTGGCTAGCTGAAACTGGATGACTGTTGGTGATGGCTGGCTGGAGCTGGATGCCTGTTGGAGATGGCTGCCTGGCTTGAATTGGAGGCTTATTGGAGATGGCTGCCTGGTTGGAAGTGGATGCCTGTTGGAGATGGCTGCTAGCTGAAACTGATGAACTGGAGCTGGGCCTGTTGAGATGGCTGTTGTAGATGGCTGGCTGGCTGGATGACTGTTGGAGATGGCTGCCTGGCTGGAACTGGATGCCTGTTGTAGATGGCTGGAATGGTTGTCTGGCTGGTTGGAACTGATGGTTGTCAGAGTTGGATTGCTGGCTGTAGCTGGGTGGCTGGCTGGATTCCTGTTGGCCTGGCTGGCTGGCTGAAACTGGATGCCCATTGGAGGTTGCTGGCTGGAACTGGATGCCTGTTGGAGATGGCTGCCTGGTTTGAATTGGATACCTGTTGGAGATGGCTGCCTGGTTTGAATTGGATACCTGTTGGAGATGGCTGCTTGGTTTGAATTGGATACCTGTTGGAGATGGCTGCCTGGTTTGAATTAGATGATCATTGGAGATGGCTGCCTGGCTGGAAGTAGATGGCTGATTGGTTAGTACTGGATGCCTGTTGGCTGTTTGTATGACTGGCTGGAACTGCATGCCTATTTGAGATGGCTGGCTGGAAATGGATACCTGTTGAACATGGCTGACTTTCTGGAACTTTATACCTGTTGGAAATAGCTGGCTGGCTGGGGCTGGAAGCCTGTTTGATATATTTGGCTGGCTGTAGCTGGATTCCTGTTGATGATGGCTGGATGGCTGGCTGGAACTGGATTCCTGTTGGAATTGGCTGGATGGATGGAGCTGGATGCCTGTTGGAAATGGCTGGGGCTGGATGCCTGTTGGAGATGGCTGACTGGATGGAGCTGGATGCCTGTTAGTGCTGGCTGGCTGGCTAGAATGGCAGCTGACAGTGAGCTGATGAAAATAAAAATGATTCATTTTCTTTTTTATTATTATTATTCAATGCAGGGTGTGTGATGTAATGGATACTGGCTTGGAATGAGAAATGTGAGAGGTAAATTCAAATTCATTACAATCACTTTTTTTTAAAGCAAATCCCCCCAAGCAAGGTGGGAGTGCCCTGGGGTTAAAGAGAGTTAGAGTAAAGTGTTTGGGAAAAAGATAAAGAGAAGGACAGGGATCAAGGTCAAGGGATCAGAAGATGTCAACTGACATTACATTTGAATATTTGAAGATCATAGCTATCAGGGAAGCAAGTAAGAGGAAGGGAGTTCCACTGACAGTAGGTTCTAGATAAGAAGCTGTTGGAGTAGAATAGATGGCTACATTTAGCCATTTTGACAGTAAAAGAGTGGGACTGAGATGTCAACCTAGTAGCACGCATAATTCATGCAGTTTGAGAACCAGTGAAAGTAGTAGGTGCCATGAAAGTACTTGTAGAAAAGACAGAGGAAACCCACTGCATGTCTGTGAGATAATGACTGGACAGGTTGCCAGATCAGGACCAATCACATTGCATATCTGTCTCTGGATTTTGTCAAAGACCTTGAGATGAACAGCGGGAGCACCAGACCATATATATGGGAGCAGTATTTCATGCAAGGACGAATGGTTGATTTGTAGATTTGAAGGATGGAATCAGGCAAGAAAAATCTTCTGACGCGACACAGAGAACCAAATTGCAGTAGATTCAATGTAGTTGTTCCATTTCAGGTCAGTGGACAATGTGAGACCAAGCAGGTGTCGAGAGGTGCTCTCATGTAGGTGGGCAGCAGCCATCCTGATGCGAGGCAGGGAGGGTTCTCTATGTTGAGTAAATGAGATCAGTTTCGTTTTTAGAGACATTAAAGTTTACAAGCCATTTCCTACCTCAGTCAATCACAGATTAGAGGTCCTACTTGAGACCTACGGCCAGGTTAGTTTTGTCAACAATGCTGGATTTACCATTGAGGCAGGTGTAAATAGTAGTGTCGTCAATGCAGATGTCAACTTGGGAGTTGATGACATCAAGAAGATCATTGATGAAGATCAGAAACAGTGGAGGACCCAGGATATAGCCTTGGGGAACACCAGCGTTCATGTGAAAGGAACTGGAGGAGAACCCATTTAGGACAACCTTCATTTCACAGTTTGACAGGAATTATTTTATTAAGTCAAATAATCATCCTTTAATGCTGTATTCCTGAAGCTTACAAAGAAGTCCAGCATGCCAGACCCTATCAAATGCTTTAGAGATATCTAAAGCTATGGCTCGAGCTTCTCCGTTATTGTCAAGTGCTTGGTATATAAATTCAGTTATGGTCGTCAGCATTGCTTGTCTGAGAGTAGATCATGGGATGTAAGGTGCTTAACCACTTTGGTGTTCATTAAAGCCTCGAAGACTTTGCTGAAGAGTGGTTGGAGGAGGGAGTTAGAGGATACACACAAATACTTTCTCACCACAGTTATTGGTTAAATAGTAGCACTTGTTTACACTATTTAAACTGTCCTCATCTTGTCATATTCCTGTTGTTGTACTCTCTGGCCTTCTTCAGGTGATATATGTTGGAAACATTGTAGATTGTTCTAGTTCCACATGCCATGCCTTTTCTGGCTATT